CATTGAGCTTTCATATGCATATACTGGATTCATTCTATCTATTATAGTTTTCGAGTAAATCAATGAAATGTGAAAACACTGTTTTTGCGAACGTTTTAATTTCAATTTTTTAACTTTGAACGCATATTACAGCAATGTGGATAAGAGCACATGAATGTATCTATACTTTAGCAGATATTAGGAAAATTGCTTACTGTGACTAATATTCGCGCCTCCCCTTAGACTAGTTCACGCCTCACAGTTTGGAAAAAGCTGACTTAGACAATTAAATGAATTAATAAGCCACTTATGAGATACGATTGTTTGGAATTATTACTATAAGAATTATGTGGAGATTACCAATAGCTTTAAACATTCCTCAAAAAACTTCGTTTAATCAATTACATTATCAGTTTTCAGGAAAAAGAAGTAATAAAAGATTGGGACAATTTCATTATTTTTATGCTATTATATTATTTTTTCGAGTTAGACAATGAATACTTAATAATAAACAATTTAACGTTTATAAATTTTATTGCTGCAGCTTTGTACGCACATCACATATTTTGTTTGATTCAATATCATGATATAACCATTATCGCTATTTGTATAAAAGTGATTTTCATTTTCCCTCCAATTCGTCACAGAATCTGAGAATCCTTGGACGTACATCGATACCCACTTCTTGTTTTCGTCATCGCATACGAATTTCCTAAAACAATATTCATCAAAAAGTCAACTTAATTGAATTACATCAATTATCGAATCCATACCTCAAATTCTCATAAAATTTTAAAATTTGTTCGGGATGATAAAATCCACGAAATTCCAAAACAACAAATTGTCCAACATTCTCCTTCGGCTCCATCACGGAATAAGTGGATAAAAATCCATCAGTTTTATCCTCGAATTCGCATTCCAAGGTTAACATTCCTAACCATTCAACAAAATCGTATCCGTCGTTTAAATCGAACGTATTCAAGTCGATTTTCGGCGTTTCATGCTCGTACAGAGTATTTTTGGATGCTCTAGGCGTGCACAATTCGACATCGTAATTCGAGTCTGAAAGGTATTTCGCAATGGAAGATGGACACACCTCATCTCTCGGTGGTAACCAATTCAAAAGTACAGTGAACTCTTCTAAATTGCTTAAACATTCCTGGACTCGATCAAAGTATTTCTTGCGCTGTTGCAAACCTACTTCGTTCAAATTTATAGTAACAGCTGAAACAAATAAAGCGTACTTTAAATTGAATGAAAATGAAATGCGATGAGAAACGTTGAAGTTAAATTACATATTTTATTAACTCACCGTACATTAATTATATATACATGGTTATAAAATAGTTAGTCAGGCTTGGTTTAGGGCATAATAATTGGCAACGATTGTGTTTCCTCTTTATTTTCATATTATTATTACATAATACAATCTGATTTGACTTTATGACTTACAGTGTACTTGAAATGAAAACAAAAAAATGTTTCCCGTTTCCATATTCCATCACATTTATCTCTTAGTTAAACACGTATCGTATTTATAATTCCACACAGATTAAATGTTAAAGCTCGATTATTTAGTAATTTGCAATTGCATGCATTAAGCCAATATTATTGGTTTCAATATGCTGTATTTATAATAAATAATTTGCATTTATCACAACATTCCTTAAACTATATTTATAATATAGTTGACACCAGTACTAATACAAATAATCTAATAAAAAAATATATGATATATCATTGTATGTAGTTATTTTATATGTATATATGATTTAGCCCTTCAAAAAGTTTGCATCACAATTAGAAAATAAAAAAGATCATGGAAGATTAGGTTGACTTGCGACATATGATACATACTTTTTGTGTGACCCTGTTTGTTATTACTAATATTCATTATCACGTAGACTGAAAAGTAAACTAGATCTAGTACCTATGGAAAACGTTCTACATATGCTCGAAGAAAGCTTTTTAATATATGGATATCCTAAACTGGATTAATCTTTTATATTGGATTATAAATTATTAATCGAGATTAGGATAACAGAAATATCAGTAAGATAGTATAGGTTTTATGTTTAAATCTAAATTATGACTAGCAACATATTTCTTGAAATCCTCCAATTCTTCAACAGAAACACCTTGCCAACCTTCCAGTTCCGAAAGTACTCTCAACTTCGGACAACTGTCCAACAACATTCTCACCGTTGTCATGCTCAAGTCGTTGCTGTACAAAATTCTCAACTCTTCCAGTTCGCGCATCGGATTCACAGCCATAACGTTAGCCAAAGACTCGTGTAGAATTCCAGTAGAAGAACCCAAATGTATATATTTGATATTGAAGCTATGCAACAAGATGAATTCCAAATGGGAAAACGCGCAATCGACGACCCAAAATATGCGCTCCAAACATTGAAACGGCTTTACTTTCAAATAACGATTGTGGACGGTCATCTTATCAATTACATCGCAATTATATAGCACGAGATTCTTAAGTCTAGGGCAATGTTGGCTTACGAATATCAACGCATTTAAGTCGATATCTTCGACATGCTCCAAGTGAAGACTGGTCAGATTCGCACCGCGAATTTCCAAGAGGCTATTCAGATAATACGAGTAAAAATCACAAGAGAGAAGCTTCAGATCTCTCAAATTGTAAAGAGTTGATAAGGCTGTCAGATCTGTGAAACGTTCATCGTGGAATAAGCTAATTTGCTCGATTTTTGGACATAAATTGACTAATAATCTGAGCGACTGAGTATTTACATCTCTAGTATGGATTTTTCGCAAGCCCAGAGATTCGCAATGTGCATAATTATCATCCAAGTATTGTATAATACTTCCGAGTTCGTCGCATCGCCCAATATCCTGCAACTTTTCTAAACCTAACAATAAGTGAGCAAAACCTTCGATGCTAATGGAAGTACGATTTAATTGGAGCTCGCGCAACTGTTGACACTTAAGTAAATGAGGAATCGAACGATCGGTTACGGACCTTGATGATGTCACATCTAAGCATTGCAGATGTGGGCAATTTTCTCCTAGGATTTGTAAAATGGAATCAGTGCAGTCGAAACAGAGGCACAACGATCGTAAGTTTTTCATTTGCGAGATGCCGTCTTTTATAAATTTATCGTACTCGCTCGATCGCCAACCACCGATGCAGGAACCCAAATTTAACACCTCCAATCCCTCCAACTGATACATATTCTTGTATAACACGTAACGCATAATTTTTGGCCATAGTGAAAAATTGATCTGCTTTAGATATTTGTTCAGAACAACTTCAGTCAAACCCACAACCACGTTCATTTTCGTCATAAATGTAGACATATTTACATATGGAAAGTACGACTTTTTTGTTTGTTCAATAAGTTCTTTGACGGCATTCAAAACTTGCACTGCCATACTATCGAACAAGTAGAGTGGTATATGAGACACCAGAAGCTCTTTGAGCCAATCTATGCTGCTCTGGAGAGCGGCTTGCGGCTGGGAGTAGACATCTATTGTCGCCAGGATTGGCGGTGTCAATGCTACTACAAATCCACCTACTGCCTCCAAACTCAGACTCTCTAAGGAAGGTACGTCGCGGTGACGAGGCATCGTCTACAAAAATGTAACTAACTTTAGGAACACCTATATAAAATAATAATTACTTTATGCAATTGCAAGTAATTACTCTTTACTAGATGTACCTATTCTTATTAAGCTTAAATACTATGTACATAGGGTTACCAGAAAGCCCCAAATTTCGCGATATTCACTAAAATGTATATATTTGTTTTTTAAATTCAATTTATAACTCTGGGAACCCTTCTCTTATTTATAATGTATGCATCTAATAAAATGCAAAATAAGCATCTACATAAATATACTAAATTATTATAAATTCTAATACATAAATCTACTCACTGTATTTAAGCCTGTTATTCTTAGCAAACTGAGAAACCTTCCCTTCGAGTCCCAGTGATTGATATGTATCTTTGGTTAAAGACAATATTAATTTTCCACTTGGTGTAATGGCCACACAATTGTCACAATCTATTCTTGTATTGATACTGAGGCCAATTAAATTTCCTAAAAATATATAATAATTAACACTTAATTCATCCATAATATAGCAATTGCAACTTACCTTGCTTTACAAAATTATCAACAAACTGTTTATTTACAATCTGCTCAAGTTTGAGGTTATTTACTTTATAATATTCACAGTTCAATTTTAAAGTGTCTACCAAATATTCAGGAACTTTTAAATTGTCAGGCAAGACCACAGACACCTATATGTAATATGTTTACAATTAATATGATTTAGACAATATACAAATATCAATTATACTTTACCAGATGGTTATAATAGAAATGGTTTATTGTGTCAGTGTGTTTTTGGTTAAATTCACCTTGTTCGAACCTTAAATTTGAATCAGGTGCTTTGAAATTTGTGACTTCAGGACACAACATTATATGGACACAACTCTCTTACTTTTATTATATCCAAGTTGATATTCACTACCAAAAAAACTATGAACTTCTGCAATTCTGTTGACAAACATTCATCAGATGGCCCTACAGGTTTTGACCATCATCTGCCAATCAGGGAGGGGGAGATTCAAGTCCACTCAAGTGCGCGTAAAATAAGTGATCCAATAAGACAATTTAATTTTTGTTACCAACAAAAGAACACTTAAAACGCACACACGTATATTTTTGTACTTTCGTGTGTACCCTTAAATTGTACAGAGAAAAGAATTTAAGAATTAAATACGGGGTATAAGTTATGGTTGGTGTCTTGTAAGCACCAATTTAAAAGTACTCTGTGGAAGTTATACTACATATGTAGAAAGTATAAGAATTTATAAGAGAAGAAAATTATATTACTAGTTTTGTATTTACTTTTTTTTTTATTACAAATTTAGTACTTATATACTATTACATTGGATTTAAACAACTTAAATATTATAAATGTTTTATTTATAAATTAAGAAATTATTTCGGAAAAACAAACTCCAGACACTCAATACAAATATTCTTAACTCACAAATAAAAATAAATTTAAAAAGATAATACTAAATCTATCTTTCAGGTTCACTTTTCTCTCCTTATCGTCCTTCAACTGTAACAAAAAAGTAATTATTATTATTAATGGTTCTTTCTACTTTTCTTTTTAAATCAAACTTACTGTAAGAACTAAGGTCAATTTCATCAGGTAATTCTGTAATATTCACATCAAATCTGTCTTGTACTTCGTTCAAAATTTTCGCATCACTTTCTTCTGACACGAATGTTATAGCTAGACCTTTCGTTCCAAAACGACCGGCACGTGCAACTCTATGCAAATATGTGTCCGAATCTTCTGGCATATCGTAGTTAAATACAATATTAACTCTTTCAATATCCATTCCTCTTCCAAACAAATTCGTTGCAACCAATATACGTTTCTGGAAGTCTTTGAACTGTTGGTATCTGGATAAACGCTCTTCTTGATTCATTCCTCGGTGAATTCCAATGGCAGGGAAATTTTGTTCAGTCAGCAATTGTGCTAACGCCATACATCTTTGAACGGATTTTACGAAAATAACAACCTAAAAATAACGGTTCAAGAAGTTAATTTCATATTGCTAATAGTTATTGAAAAATTATAAATTAAATATTTTTCTTCAGAGAGAAAGTTCAATTGTACGTGATAAATATCATTCATGGTAATTCATGATTTTCATTTCATCATTTTAATGTGTGTCAATATGTTCTAATTTAGAATAGGACGAATTAAATTATACCTGATTAAACTCAAGAACATCCAACAATTCAAAAAGTTTTTTGTTCTTTTCATTTTCCTTTAGTTTAACATAATGCTGTTGCAAGCCATGTAACGTTAACTTGGCTTCATCATCTACATATACCTCCATCGGCTGAAAGAGAAAAAGAATTAAAATGATAATTACATACGTATGTATTCAATGACGTGTTCATCAAATATATGAATAGTTGAACGAAGAATCCAATGGTTGATAATGCTAATTTTATGACATAATTACTTAATAAACCCGATAGCCTGATATGTCTTTACTGTTGTAACGTGGATAAACATCGCTGGTACGCCCATAAGAACGAGTTGTCAATTATCTTCTGAGACAATTCCCCTCGAATGGACAGAATCCAATGTGAAATGTAGAAATTTCCAAAATAAACCCCCATAATATAATCGTTTTTTTGCTTTGTTTTGTAGAGAGACGTGTAAATTTTGAAGCACTGTAGCGCAGCCCAGAAAACCGTTTAATTCGATAGAACGCGAAACCCAAGTCGCACTTTGAATAATCTTCATTATTCTTGATCCTCCTCTTCTTAGCCCTGGCCCAACCCATTTGCCTACACGTTGGGCTACAGTGCTCTAAGTATTGCAGCATATTCCAAATGAATTCCCATAATCAACTTTCTTTCAAATATGCCATTTGATGTAGCGCCCAAATGTAGTAAAAAATTCAATTACATCTTGCATAAATTTTTTGCAGACTGGTCGGATGTCTTTGCTTAATGTTGCACTAAACATCATAACTTGTTTTCCATGTGGTGTGTTGCGATAAATTTCTTGTACATCTCTCCTCATATCTGTAAAACAAAAATAAATACTTATAAATCATACAATTTTAAGCAATAAAATTTAATTCAATGATTATTTCAAATGTTATCAGGATAGATGGATTATTTCATTATTTATCAATTGTCCCTATCTATAATAGTCATCATTTTGATTATTTTCTTTTGAATATTATAACTTTCAATGATTAGAATATATATTTACCTAGTAACTCCAACATTTTATCACATTCATCCAAAATAAAATGTTTTAGATGTTTAAGGTTGAGTTTCTTTGATCGGACGAGAGCCAATATTCTGCCAGGAGTGCCAACAACAATATGTGGGCAATTGCTTTTCAAGACATCCTCATCTTTTTGAATTGGTAATCCACCAAAAAATACACCAACTTTGATGGACGACATGTATTTACTGAACCTCTCATACTCTTTGCTGATTTGGAATGCAAGTTCACGAGTGTGACACATTACCAAAACATATACAACATTTTCTGTGGGTTCGAGTTGTTGCAAAGTGGCAAGTACAAAGACAGCTGTCTTTCCCATACCAGATTTTGCTTGGCATAAGATGTCCATGCCCAATACTGCTTGTGGAATACATTCATGTTGTACTGTAAATTAAAAACAATTCGATATAAAACACGTGCTTTTTGTAAATAAATAATTATATAGCAAAATTGAAAAAAATCAGTTATTCCCAATTTATGCATCAAATAGATATCAGATTTCCCTATCTACATATTTTATCATCATAATAATAGTTTTTAATATTTAATCGTAATGAAATGAAAAACAAATATAAATACCTTCTGAAGGATGCTCAAAACCACAATCAACAATTGCTCTCAAAATTTCAGGTTTCAGTAGGAAATCACGAAAACCTGAACTGTGTATTGATACATATGTGCCTTTAACTCCTTTCTTTTGATCAACTGTTCCAGTGGTCTCATTTACTGTCTGCTCAGTCTGCTCTTCATCTTCATAATCTAAAAGATCATCAGCGTCTGCCATTTTGTTTATCTGTAAATAATAATTATGTTAATTATGTATTACATAACAGACAGCATTTTTTTTTTACTAAAATCAATAAGTACTTTTGATAATTTAAAATTATTTACTAATGAAATGAGTATTATGTTTTTTTAGAGAAAAACCGTTACAATTTCATAAGCAAATTTAGGCGTCAGCAAAGAGCGTCACCTGTACTAACAAGGTTTATTTTCTCAATAAAACATTTATAACAAAAAATAATATTCAATTCATATAATAATTTAAGTACTTATATAAAAAGGAAACAAGTCAATGTATAAAGTTCGATGATTCTTAAAATATTTTAAGTTGTACTTACGGAATTCGGGAACTGTATGAAAACACGATGCAAACACTGGAAATGGCGGCATAAAAATGGCGCTTGTTTTTCCCTCCCTACGTTTCTATGCGGCCTCTCACCAAAAAATCAATATGACCAACCTTCAAGTAATTAAGAAGCATTTACCAAGTACGCCTGTAGAGGGCACTCTTGTATTGATCCGTTTGTATTTTAAGAATGTATGATTACTAAGATATCGAACATCATTCATTGATTCAATGAATGTAAGAAGATATTATAAATTAATAATTTCTTTATTTTTTTATTATCAATAGTAGGATACTTGTAAAAAATTGAAAATGATAACTATTTAGGAAGTCAAGTGTGCTTAAATTTAAATGAATCATATCATATAATACATATATTATTTTATTTGTTAACTGTACATAAATCAACTAAGTTCATGATATTTTTAATGGGCATCTTCTTTGACAAATCTTAATCCACAATAGCCACATGCATGGTTACCAGGCTTGTCCTAAAAAAGTAATAAAGTAACTTAATGATTAGTGGTATGATAAACTGTTAAATCATTACCAAATTGATGTATACTTTTGGATGTCCAATTGGACCACCACCACCATCACACGAAACAACACGTTCCTTGCAAGGTTTTGGTGGAACTTCAGCAATTAAATCAATTGCAAAGTTTGGATTTACATGCTTTGGTTTATCAATGAACCTAGCCAGTCTGTAGTCATCAGACTCCCATTTCTGAGGAATAACATATACATTTGTATTATTAAATACATCATAGTTGCTGTTATGAAACAGGTTGGGTTAAGGTTGAAATAAATGAAATCACCTGGCCTGTATGAGTAACTTCTTCTTTCGGAACCCAGTCAGCAAAATTTCTAACAGCTGGAGTGCATGTCCTCAAAGATAAACTTTGAAATATTACTTTTCTTGGTAAACGGCACAAGAATTTTGTGCTCGACATTTTTTTCTACGAAATTGTCCTTTTTTTCGATGACAGAAGGTTGCGACTGAAGTTGGGTTAATTAGTGTATTGGACTTTCAGTCTTGCCAATGTTGTAGATCAATAATACACCGGTTTGTGTTATGTTTGGAAAATTATTTAAACTTATTTATATACCACTTAGTTACCGGCGTTTACTGCAAGTGAACGATGATGTTTTATTTATTAACACTAGTATTGTTTGTGTCTGTTGCAACATGTGTAGAAATTGATCCGTTGGGTTATATTTTATATTGTCCATGCATGGGTAAAGTGATATTTATTATAAAGTCTTCATCGCTAATATATATAAATACATATTTAATTGTAGGAAGATTTGGTAATCAAGGAGACCATTTTTTGGGTGCATTAGGTTTTGCACATGGACTAAATCGTACACTTGTTCTTCCACCTTGGGTTGAATACCGGTATGGCCAATCAAAGTCCATACAAGTTCCCTTTGATACCTATTTTAAAGTGGAACCTCTCAAAGTGTATCATAAAGTGATTACAATGGAAGTATTTATGAAAACCATAGCACCAATCGAATGGCCCAAAGACCAACGTATTTCATTTTGTTATATGAGCAGAGGTAAATTGGTGTACATCAATAATTTGGAATACATTGTTTCATTGTTTTAGGAGATTCTGGTAATTGCAATGCTAAAGATGGAAATCCATTTGGGCCATTTTGGGATACTTTCAATATTGATTTTGTTGGGTCTGAATTCTATGGACCTCTACATTATGACACATACCATCAGGACATAGCTAAGAAATGGCAACTCAGTTACCCACCAGCAAAATGGCCAGTTCTTGCATTCAGTGGAGCACCAGCAAGTTTTCCTGTCCAGTTGGAAAACAGAGAATTGCACAAGTACCTGCAATGGTCTGATCATATAGAAAATCTTGCAAATAATTTCATAAAGAGGAATCTGCCTCAAGGGGCTTTCATTGGTATTCATTTGAGGAATGGCGTGGACTGGGGCAGAGCGTGCAAACACATTCCAGACAGCCCTAATCTATTTGCAGCCCCACAGTGTTTGGGCTACAGAAACGAGCGTGGTAAAGCTACCATGGACATGTGCATGCCCAGCAAGGAAACGATAATTCGACAATTGAAACGAATTATTAAAAGCTACAATAATGCACCAAACAAAGGACCAATTCGAGCAATATTTGTTGCTTCTGATAGTAGTCATATGATTGAAGACTTGAATCTCGGACTGCAAAGGATGAAAGTCAAAGCGTACAAATACGACAACGCTACACCGCACGTTGACCTAGCTATATTAGCGAAATCCAATCACTTCGTTGGAAATTGCATATCATCTTACAGCGCATTTGTTAAACGTGAAAGAGATGCGAAAGGGTTCGCTTCTAGCTTTTGGGCTTATCCTATTGAAAAGAGCAGCACCCATGACGAATTATAAATCACATTTCATTTACACAATAGTATTACATTAACATTTAAATAAATAAATAAATGTATTTATTAATAAATTTATGTTGCTTTATTATTTTTTTAGTTATTTTAATATTAAATGTTTTCTGTGCGATTTCATTAAATCGAACCAAAATCATAAAAACCTAGCTCTTAATACAAATTTAGTCCTTGATTGTTTTATTAATGGTAATTGGAGAGACTACCCGTAAAAATGAAAAACGTATGTTATAAATACATATGTGTACGTTTGGTTGTCTAACGTTTTAGTATATATATAATATAAAAAAAGGATAAATAGATAATAATTAAAGATGTATTGCAATTTTTAAAGGTTAGCATTATATTGTGCAATGTTTGTGATAATTATGGTTACTGTTTTATGTTTTGAGTAATAGAAGAAGTAATATAGAATAATATAATTGCGTCAAGTACGTAGAATGAATTATTACAGGTTTTGTATTTATTATATCGTTAAAATCGGTCTGTTCTTGTTACTTGTTACAGATATATGTGTATATGTATATATTTGCTTACGTACGTAAGATGGATTTTATTCTTATTTTGTTTCGTGACATCAACTTCCGCTTTATTAAACATTATTGTAGGAACGTATAAAGTCGAGAATAATAAAACAAATTAACAGAAAATCGTCCTTAATGAATACTCACATATCGTTTACCGAGCCTGTTCGTTTCTGATCGGCAAGGACGCACGTTGATTGGTCTGAAACACGTTGAAAGTAGGTTGTGACGTCGCACGGAGAAACTATATAGGGATGTGGAGTGCGATTTCGGCGCATTTCAGTAACGAACGTGCTGGGTGACACATAAGTTGTAAAGTGCGTACGATCTAACGATATTTTCACCTGTGGATTACTATAATAATATTATTACTACGAAGATGGCCAGCGAAGCGCAACGATTAATTGGAATCTCTTTGACGAAGATCGCCCAATCGCGGACCCACCGAGGTGGTGTCAGTTTACACAAGAATTTATTAGTGGCTACGGTTTTGCAAAAAGCTCGGTACATATTTATGGAGGAGGCTTATAACATGGTGCACTATCAGGCAGCACCGGTGGTACCTCAGCGAGAGGTACAGGAGGAGTTAGTGGGTTTAACTGCAGAGGAAGCCGGGGTCGCGCCGATGACGGCGCCCGAAGAACCGGACACCTCCAGCCTGGATTTCCTGCAGCCGGGCTGCGCGAAGTGTGGTCAGGACAAGGAGAATCAACCACCGACGTACCACACCGCCGGCGAGTTGACTTACCTAGACTTGGACAAGACGCCGAGCGTCCTCAAGGAGCGCAGCAACTGCTTGAAGAGGCGACGAGCGGTCACCGAATGGGAGACCGAGGAGGCTGTACAATCCATTCTTCCTAAGCGTAGGTGTACCGAAGAAGGCGACGATTCGGTGTTCCTAGATGACGCCACGTTGCTCTCTGATACGGTCGCCAAGGAAATCGAAAGTCAGGAAGCAACAGCATCGACGTCTTCTCCGTCAACGTCGACGACCACCACGTCGTCATCGACGATGGAAATTGAACGAATCACATCACTCGTATCCATCTTCAGTTTCGGTATGGGGGAGAATGGTAAACTCAATAGGTCCGTTTCCACCCCAGACCTTTGTTCCTCACAAGCTAAAGATGTCGCGGACTCGATACAGCAGCGGCCATTCCTTGCTATGACGGTATAAATTACAATTTAGTGTGTTAATTAGAACAATCATTGCCAGAACATTTCCAAATATGCGCGTGATCTCGTACAACGATTACAAAATGATGATTTTTTTTTTTGTTAAGAAAGAAGGAACAATCACTTTGCTAAAACCCAAGACATTAAGACACGCACATTACTATCAATATTACACATTACATTGTTTCGGTGCTACTCTGTACTTACTACATCAACAAATTATGAACTCAAGAAAAAAAGGAGCAAAGCGATTGTTTTAATTAATTTATATTTATTTTCTTTTTGCTGTGGTACCCCCAAATACCATATTCAAGGAAAAAAAGAGGAGAAAAACCAATGTGATAGTGAGAAAAAAATTAATGTTAACTAATTGTATTTTTGTAATTTTTCCTTTTTTTTTTTTATTATTTTGAAGAAATATTGTGTTGTGTTTTCTTTTTATTTTATATATATATATATATATGAGAAAAAAAAAACAAAAACAAATATGTATGAAATTCATATTAGCCGCATTAATATTAGTTTCTTTGTTTTGAACTCGTTCTCTCTGTATATATATATATATTCTCAGTATCTTTAATTTCCGATAGTTTTGTCCTGACGACTAGATGCAGTAGTGGTCCCCTTTTCTCACGGTCAGTACCCTTTTGTTGGGACCTTAATTTATTCGTAAAAACGTTACCCAGGTATTCCAGACCCGTTTGTATAAAGGAAAATAAGTTCAGGTAGCCGAAAATATCACTTTGGGGGGGCTTGCATACAGTTTGGGATCTTTTCTTCTTCCCCCACCGGATGTGAACATTCATTGGAATTGTCACGTTTATAACGGAAAGAGAAATATATATATGTATATATATCTGTATATGTAATAATACACAATCAACAATTAGGATGAAATATATTTTTGTACATTAATGCGGCGCCAATTTGTAAATAAATATAATATAAAAAAAAATCTTTTTATAAATCTAAATATATATATGTATATTATATATCAATAGCTCTGTTTTAAGAGTTTTTTTAATTTTATTATTGTACATACGAATTATTATAATTCTATTCATTATATTCTATATTGGAAAATAAAATTATGAAATGAAGTTAAACTATTTGTATTTATTAATCCACAATCCCGTAATCCTTTTTACCACCGAAACAAATTTATTTAAACCATATGCATATTTCTGTTTGTTATCATTGCGTAAATGTAAATGTTTGCAAGTGAAATTAATGCAGCAGTAATTGAATTACAGCACTTGACTTTCCTTAACATAGTGATATTTCTGCTACAGAAAATCTATAAATTAGAACTGGATTATATGGAAGAGATAAACGTACACTTATCACATTGTGTATAACAGATAACTAAAAATAGAAAAATGTGAGGCAATATTTGATAAAATTCACCAACGGAGGAATACAAATGTTTTGCTTTGAATACGGAAATCTTTATTAATATTTTATAAATTTTGTTCAATAAAATAAAGTACACTTATTTGTTTGTTGCATAATTCAAGATAATCAACAAATTATTTTTTTTCTAAAGTTATATTTATTCAAATTTCAATAACAATATGTAAGAGTAGTTAAGTATTATATGAAAATGATCACTTGTACAGTTTTAGTTACTATATAGTATGGATGAATGAATGAAAGGCAGTTTACTTTTTGTTTCGTTTAAATATATGTATTTCGACTCATTTAAGAGGAACGGTTGAAGGTCTTCGTTGATAAGGTGAGCATCAAGGATGTACCTGTGAAGGTTGACGCTACCATTTTCGAGACCGAATTTGTGTCGAAATATCTTATAAATAATTAATATGACACAGTTATTTCTGTTTAATTAGTGAAATGTGCGAAATTTCAGTCTTCATCTGATATTTGAATTCAATTAACCCGTACACACACACAGGATGTGCTCTTCATATAATTAAATATCTAAACGCTTTTGAAATAAGTTATCACGTTGTAAAATGAAATATATTTATATATTTTTCTATGATTGCACCTTAACATCTCGTGTGTGCAATCTGCGCGTAGCACAAATAAAAAGTATATTGCGAAATTCTTCGAGATGACTGCGAGTTTATTATAACTTTCTCTAAGTCATATACGTAGTAGTATACATGTCGGTCGTGGTCACTGACTCTTTCCACAACTTCAAACGCTCGACCAAATACACCTAATCAATGAAACAAGGTATATTCACTTGCAAATTGGGTCATTGATTTTAGTCGTCGGATATGTTTACCGAAGAATTGTGTTCCACAACGAACGTCTCCTCATATCTATTGATGTATCGAGTGCATACACACAATTACACAAACACCGTTTGCATCTACACCTTCTTCTGTACCATGAATTCATCAGTTTAATCATCTGCAAAATAAGTGGTGTAGTCGCATGTCCGCATTATTTTCATTGTTGCGTTTCTTTCTTTTAAATGAACGTCTTGCAATCTATAACTTTCTCTTTGCAGAATTTTGTACGATAAGAAAAGGAAACGATTTATTACCATTCCAACAAACAAATGTATATATTTCAGGGCTTGTGTAATTTATCAGTTTCAATGATTTGAAGTTATTTCAATTCATTAAATAAATAATAATAATTTAGCAGTTGTTTATCAATTTAGACCAGTGTTCTTCAATCTTGAGCCTTACATGACATATTTGTGTTTTGAACTTCTTTGGAAAGTAGAATTTAATTACTAATTTTTACGGCTTCCATCAAACTGCATCGTTTATTTTACAATTAATTAACTAACGATCTAAAATTGCTCCGCGTTAAATTTTTAAGGAAATGCGAAATGACAGCTGTCATCTTGTATCGAAGCTGCGAACTAGTAAAATACTCTTAAGTTGAGTTGCAGTACAACTATAAAAAAAATATTTCGAGTAACCCGACAGAAAGGTTAAGAAACACTGAACACTCATGTAACGGATTCACGGCACACCAGTATGATACGTCTTAATTTTCTGTTATTGATTGCTCAATTATAATGGAAAATATTACGATCATTCCTATATTTCCATACGGAATTGCGCAATAATTGATAACGTGAGACGTAACTCGATTTACTGCAATTCGTGTAATCTCATTTTTTTTGTTTGTTTCTACTTGTTCATTCCAAATTGTAAGAAAATAGTATCAGTTCGAATTTTATATACACTTGTCTGCAAATTCGTAGTACTCACTAGTATTTCAATCTTTTATAATTGGTTTAGTTTTAAATAATATAACAAACAAATGTTTCAGAAGACGATGTGATACAGTGTAGAATTACACTTTATTTTAAAGTTAAAGTTAAATTTATGTTTGAAAATAATTGTACAATCTGTAACAATTTTTAATATATTTTTGTTAATAAAGGAAGAAATAAATTTTAAATTGCATATACTTATTTTTGATAATTTTTATGTATAACATTTTCTAAAGCAAAAGTTAAACAATCGTGAATATTGATAAAATAGTTCTTTATGATATTAAAACATTGGATTATTTATTTTTTACTTTTCGATATGAAAAAGGCATTATTATAAATATAAAATCTGAAAAAACAAGCATTATTTTTACAAAAATAAAAAGATGTTCAAAAAAAGTTTCCGTTGAATTTACTCAAAAGACAGTGTTTATGATATAGTGATTTGTTTTGTAATGATGTTAAAATGATGTTTTTATTTGTAAATCCCTTTAACATTTCATTGGACAAATTATTTGGGATTGGTAAGTACCGCCTGCAGTTTCCAAAAAATGCCCTAACGTGATTAAATTTTATGGCTTAGGTAATACCTTCACAGAAAGCGTAGCTAAGGGTAGGTACAAAATGTTAAAATGTTGCTGCTTTGTTGTGGTAGTGTTCAACATTCGCTCGTAATTTTGCAACTCTCCATCTTGGTGATAACGACGACTGAATGCAAAAATCCAA